GGTCACGTGCAGAGCTCTTACTGTCACCTCTGCCTTGCCCAAGACCCCACCGCAGAAGAGAAACCGCGAGTACACCGCCGTTTTGAGAGGCCTCCTGCACCCACCTCCGCTTCACCTTGGGCACAGTCCTCTGCTGTTCAGACTGAGCCTCCTCTAAAAGGGTCAAGCTCTGTAACGCCCCAGAGAAGACAATTAGTCACAACACACCCACAACGAGATCCTCTCTTCACCTTCAGCACCTCTCTCCTGCAAAGGCTGCAAGCTAGCGGGGGAGCACACAGCTGCAAGCCGGAGACCACGTATACGCCCTGCTGGAACTTCACGGCAACCTCCTGCCCACATCAGACAGCCCAGAACCTGAAGGGGTTTGGCCTAGTGCTGGAAACATGTAAAAGCAAAGCATTTCGAGTCTTGAAATTAGGATTCTTTGCACTCAAACTTTTTTATAAACTGAGAAAGTTACATCACGTGCCTAACGTATGGACTTCACGCCTGCCTTGCACAGATTAACAGTACGTTTACAATTCAGTTGTGACAGAGAGAACCTTCATATTCCCAGCTGGAACTGAACTATTATTCCACAATCTTGCCCAAGCTGCCATCGTAAACTAGCCTGAGAACAATTATTTCTCAGCTAGCAGATACGGTTATGAGAGACAGAAACATAAAACACAGAGAGGGTGAAAAAAGAAAGCCAAACACTTAAAAAATTACAGCAAATTGCATTGCTCTAATTTGCTTTTCTCAGAGACTTTGTGGGGAAGGGACAATTGCTTTTACAGCAAGAGAACAGACCGTGGTCAATTAAGCCTGCAGGAAGCACTTCTTCACTGATCATTTGAGGGGCACCTTCTCTTTAGCGTAGATGACTCCATTAAGTGGAATTGTCAAACTCAAATCCTCATGATAATGGTGTCTCAGAAGTTTTCAGCTGTTGTTTTGCAGTGGAAAACCAAACCAAAAGCAGAAGCATTTTTAAAATAGCCTAAAAACAGCTGAGAAATAAAAAGTATTTAGATGGTAACGTGATAAACAGTCTCCAGCGCTGGGTTCAGGACTACGTCCCGATGTTGACAGCTATAGGCAGGTGTAAGACTGGTGGTGATTTTCAATAGATAAAAACACACTTTTAAACAACCTTGCATCTCAAATGACTGTCAACTTTTGTCCCAGACTTGACTGGGTCACAGGGCCTCCTTACATAGCAGTGTCTGTCAGCACCGGATTTCAGAAGATTATTCAGAGCACATTCCTCGACAGAAAGCATTTTTCAACCAATGCAGCCATTTACAGTTACTAAGGATTAGCTCCAACAAACACACACTCCTTTTCCCTGCTGCTGCAGTTTGAAGGAAGCTCCTTAATGCTTCAGTACCCGACATGGAACTAGGGAAAGTACCACATACATGGCTTGTACGTGTGGCTCTTCAATGAGGCTCTCAAGGACAATGCTGCTGCTGATCTTCAACCTCCATCAAAACCCACGAGAGTCACGAGGAAGCAGGGGATCCATTTGCTTTCTCCGAGTCCTTTACCTCCAGCTTGGTGAAGCTCTACGTGTGCCCATGAATCTGGGCACAACAACGGCCCCGTAAGAGGGGACACATCCCGCGCAGGACAAACCGCTAAGGCGGAACCTTCCGGCCATCGGCTCGCTGCGTGACGCGCCGGGGGCACGCCGAACCGCCCCGCGGGGCGGGCTGCAGCAGGGGAGGAAGCACCCGCGACAAAAGAGGCGACAAGCGATAGCTGCGGGACAACGCGCTGCCTTCCAGCGCGCTGCACCAACCACCATAACCAACACGGTGTTCCAGCCTCTTCAGATCCCAGGCAGCCTTCGCACAGCAGGCTTTCAGAACGGGTTCTTTCAACGCATTTAGATTTGCTTTTGATTAGTCAGATGAGAAAAAAGTACCTCCACACCCCCCACCCCAAAATAACTCTGCTTTTCCTAACAGAACTGCACTCTAGCTTGGTAATAACAAGGTGATGGAAAAACCAAGCTGCAACTATTCTGACCACTTCTCACAAGTACCTGTAAGATCTAAGCAGACAACTAAAGCCTTCCAAGTCTGGAAGTACCTTTGAATATACCCAGCTGCCCAGCAAAACTAGTTTGTGCCCGGCAAAACCTAGTGAGTCTGTATCTCGCCTTGCAGCTGGCCAGTCTGGATAGCAGTGCTGACAGTCCCAAACAGAAGGAAATCTCCAGTCCAGCACAGCAAGAGTTTAAGGAACAAGCCCACATCTCAGCAGGACTTCCATCCTGGATGCAGGCAGAATGATTCCTCCACACATGACACTTAAGCTAACACACAGCACAAAGATGCTTTCAAAATTTTGAGGCAAATAACTAGGTACTACACGATCTTTTGTAATTAAGCACAGTGAATTCCTCTGTATCTGCCAGTAATCCATGGTGGTGAAAAACAACCCACTTCTGTCTCTACACACGTCTGCTGATAAGACTGTACCGTGTAGTTGCCTTGTACATCACACGGTGTGTTGGGGGAACTGTGTAGAGGTTTAGCCAGGTACCCGTGCCAGGCAATAGTGCTGTACGTGCGGTAACAATGCTGGGACCCAGAAACCTGCACGTTGTCACAGACTCATCTCCAGCGAAGTGCTCACACACTAAGTGCTTATATAGCATTGCTGCCCATCTCAAAAGACTGATCAGTGTCAAAATGGATTTTGGAAACGTGTGTCAGAATTCTGTGCACTCCTCTCGAGTCAGGAACCGCACGCCCGTCACATCTAAACCCCACCACGTTATTCACTACAACGCTGACCACACAGAGAACTCAACTGCAAGTTAGCCCATGAATAACTTTGAGGCACTAGTAAGTACAGACTGCTAGAAACAAATCAGCACAACCATAGCTTTTAAAACATTTCTAGGAATAAGTTATTTGTGAGCTTACAGTGGAGCTCACACGTCAACCTGAAGAATTACAAGTACAAGTAATTAGTTGGTGCTGTTTCAAAATCTCAGGCTACCAAAGGTAAGCTGCACTGGTCGACAGGGAACCCCTAAGCCCTCCAAGCAATTGCTGAACTTGGTAACGTACATAACACACCAATATTAAGTATCCTGACAGTTTCTGTCTCGAGCTCTACTCGTGTCTGTCCCACCAGACTACGGATTTAGCAGAGAGAGAGTAAACACAGCTCAGACACCGGCATAACCCAGGCAGCTGTCTGACAAAAGCTAATTTAGCAACCTGTTTACAGCTGGAAAGAAAACTTATCCCAACACAGATGCCAACTTGGCAAAGGCTTAATGAAATCCTCTAAGGTCAAGCCGAGTTCTGTTGGGAGGCAATAAATACTTGCCAGTCCACCCCCACACACACGTGCCACGAGACGCTCACTTGCAGCACATAGCACCAGCGTTCAGTTCGGGTTACTGACTACGGCGCTCTGTCCGAGTAGCGGGCATGTCTTTTCTGACTTCAGATTGAAACTCTGGACTCATTTTTTTTTTTAGTTTCATTGCCATCAGGGTGATTAATTCCTGGGAAAACTAAGGCCTAAATTCACCACTCCTCATAACCCACTATCCAAAGGGGTAGGGGAATGGAAAAAAGACTGCTTTATAGGCAGAAAACCACTGCCCCAGTCAGCACTAAGAACCCGTGCCAGAGCTAAACATCCTTGCTGAGAATTCCACAACGTGTGCATCACGAACTACAGCGTCGCTGTACGCGAGTTTCTCCACGGGTTCCCGTGAGAGCACCAGCATTTGCACTAACTCAGTGCACACACACAGAGATGACAAAGTCCCCCGTCTATATTCTACTGACATTGGGATTTGCATGAAAAAAGGAAAAATCTTGCAGTGTAACATCTGAATTCAGTGTTAGTGAGGGTTATGACACAATAACCTGTCATGTAAAATCCTTCTCCAGTTTTGAAAAGAGTAAATACAGCAAAGAGAAAAACGTCTTGCCTGTAGTTCTGAGCTGTGTTCTGACCATTCATCATCGTACTGAATAACACGACTCGTCAGCTCTAATCCAAAGACTACAAAGGCGGCGAGTCAGACTTCCACACGCCTTCCAACCAGCCCAGCATCCACAGACCAGCCTGGATTCTGCCTTAGTGGGGAGTCCAGAATACGGCTTTAATCAATAAGCCCTTACAGGTGTTTTAATTTTAATCTTGCAAGTGGTTCTATCAAAACCAGTCTGACTCCTACGTGTAAAATCAAACAATTATGAAAGTATTTCCAGGACCTGGATCTAAATCTCATCTCCTAGCTCAATAAACCTAGGACTGTATTTTTTAATTCCAAAGCCACTCTTCAACGATTACGGCTTGGGGTTTTTTCCGCTAGAAACCCTGCGCTACAACCAACACATGTGACTTCTAAAACTGCTGCGATGAATGCCAGTTGTCCCTACACTTTTCTCAAACACCTAATTTTACCTCCAAAGCAAAGTGTCCGTTTTCTACCGCATCACCCGAAGCAAGAGGATAAAATGTTAACGGAAGAACCAACATCTAAACTGGAATTAACCTTGATTACATACATGACTATAGGAGAACTGTATCCGCATTCTTTACCACCACTGCAGCTTTAAGAGCTTTAGGTTATTTTGAGAGGCAAAGGGCAGACAGCAACATCTGATATGGCCGAGAGCAATCGTGACTTCACACTTACATGGAACTCAGTTGTATTGAGAATGTGACGACCATCCGGACTCCAGCATGAAGCCACCAATCCTGCTGACCCCTCGTCTATCTTACAGTGCCAGTCCGGCTGCTCCAGGGACCAGACCTAGGTCAGAGAGGAAACCAAACAGACAGTGCAGCCAGCGACCAGCTCAGCAGAGCCTCTGCTCACGAGAGGACGCCACAGCTGAGGCGAGGGTCCTGCAGCGCATACCAGAGAGGGCAGGAAACCTCTGAGAGCCCGCGGCCATGAAGGACTGGCGCTGGATCCCACTACAAAAGTAAGCCTCACACCTCTGCGGGTTAATACTAATTGTACAGCGAGGTGGGTTGGGTTGGTTTTTTTTTCCCTGTGACAAATATTCTGAACATCAAACATTCAAAAAAAGTTTTAGTCCATTTATCAGGTTTGCATGTATTTATTTCCTACAGAACTGAGAAACTGTAAGATAACCTCCAGCTTTGACTTGTTTTGATAAATATTTTCATTCTAAATGGGCGGGGGTTTTTCCAAACTAAGATGTCTGTCATGGTTTTAAAAACAACGGCGTGCTGGCTTACCCTCAAACCACACATTACCAGCAACAACGTGGGTTACTTTAGCAAAAGCACTGCAGCAGCGCTTGCCGTGGGGAAGCTCTCACTCGCACCGCACACAAGTCCCCGACAGGAGACACACTCTGTCCCGCTTTTGACCTTACCTGGACAATCCCACGCTTGTACATGGCACATAATATGAACAGGGAATCGGACGACCACTCTATGTACTGGATCTGGTCCAGGCAAGTGTACAGCTGCAGGATCTGGAGGGTGTCCACAGCCCGGACCACCAAACGGTACTGCGTGCACGACGCCTGAGCGAGAACGAAACCGAAGCCCGGTTGGGGCAGCAACACAGGGCTTGACCCACGGCTGTTACGGGGCCGTGAGGAGACGCTGTGCTGCCGCTCTCTTGGCACATGTCAGACTCAATCAGTGGTTTTAATCCCAGAAAAGCTTGATATGTGCTGTACTCTACTGCAAATGACAGTAGAAACAGCTAAACCAGGAGGGAAGGGGGGTTATATTAATAAAAAGAATCCTTATTCGCCCTACCGCTGCTGGTTAACTAGTTTTGCGTTTCAAAAAAAATTGTTCTTTGTCTCATAACTATAATTTTATTTAATTAACCTTAATCAGGACCCCATTATAAAGACCCTTGTTGACTAAAAGCCTCTCAGCCAGCCGTCCCACAGGCACAGTTCAGCGTTCGCAGGATCAACAGCACCGTCGCTACTCCTTCAGGGCCAGGGGGGGCCCGC